ACGCTAAATTCGATGAAATTCGTAATTATGCATTAAAAAATTGCCCTCAAATACTACAAAAGTACGAAGATCTTCAAACTACATGTGCAGAAAGAATAATTTCTTTAACGAATCTTATTGAAAAAGTTCGAAATGAGCAAAAAGGTATATTATTTTCATTGATTATTAATAATTAAGGAGTATCAGAAAATTTATTATTAAAATTTTATTAAAATTTTTTCTTTGGATTGATTAAGACAATTTTTTAAAAAAATATAAAATTTCTGAAATTTTATGTATGCAAATATGTTAAGATCTTTTTTAAATTAATGGAATTTTGAAGTTTCAAAAAGTTTTCGAAATTATATTATTTATATTATTAAATTAGTAGTAGGAAAAATAAAGATTTTTTTCTTTAATAAATTTTATATTTCAATAATAATTCATCATTTTTTAATTAAAAATTGATTTTTAGATTTTTAAATAAAATATAAAGAAATAATTATATGATTTTTGTTATGAATTTGTTAGGTATGGAACTTTTTTCTTTAATTGATCCAAGTGATGAAACGAGTTTAATGCAATTACCTGATCCTCAACCAATGACTAATGATTTACAAAATGTACATAGACTTGTAGAAAATATAGAAGCAATTCATGATCAACTTGTAAAAACACTGATTGAATCTCAAAAGATCATTAAAAGTAAGATTATCAAAGAGGAAATTGATCAAATAAAAGAAACAGAAATAGTAACTTCAAAATGTGATGATAATGCAAAAGATAAAAAAGAACTAGAAGAAATCAAAATTAAGCCAAAAATTCTAAGTGATGAAAGAGTGAACATTCAATTGAATAGATTTAAAATACAAAAATCAACATTCCAAGCATCAACATCGACACCAAAACATAACACTTGGCTTACACCAAAACAATATGAAGAAGAAATGATAGAAAAATTATCAAAAGAAATTTTAGAACAAAGCAAAGGATTCAATGATAATGTAATATCGCCGAAAGAAATTTATGATTCAGCTATGAAATTCAATTCTATTCAAACTTCAACAGATAATAATGAGTTTAAAAATGATACACAAAAAAATCATACAACTATAAGAAAACATTTTAATAAAGAGGTAATTTAATTTACATTCATATTTTTTTTCATAATGAACCACATTCTATGCATTATTATAATATTATATTTCGTTAGATATCTCTATATATAAATATTTATTTTATTATATATTACCAATATACTATTCTAGGTAAAAAATATTAAAGAATTTATACCATTATGTAATGATATTCCAAAAACATTAAAAACTACAGATAATATGCATATTAATGGAAGAAGTAAACCACCAGTGAGTTTGCTTAGTGGACCATATAGGTAAAATTTAATAGCATTTTATTTTATATATTTTCTTTATATAATTTAATTATATTTAATAATGTAAATTATATATAATTTTATATTATAATAAAATCACATTACAGAACTGAAATTGAATCATCTGGACATGAATTATCAACAATAATTGAATTTGATACACCAGATACTGTAAATAAAAGCCAAAACAATATCAGAAGTCCATTGTCAGCGAAAAAGATTGCAGAAACTCAAATAACAAAATCTACTGCTATAGTAAAGCCATCGGAACACATTAATACATCGCTTAATTTAGATAATCAACATTCAGAAAAGTTGCGTAATTCTTCTATTAAAAAACTATCTTCAATAGTATTTACACAAAATGTAAAAGAAGCTTCAATATTTCTTGATTCACCTAAATCGTCTAAAAATATAGGAAACCAAAATTTAATGGAAAATAAAAACAAAGAACAAAAAGATATTATTCAGGAGAATGATAAAAAGTTCCAATGTGATACAGTAAAACAAGGATCATTGCAAGCAGAAGAATTGCAGCCTTTTCATTCTAATAGTAATGACCTAAATAAAGAATGTAAAGATAATAAAAACAAAATAACGTCTACAAGTTCAAATAGTTTTTCTGAATTATCAGGAGTTTCGCATATAGCAAGTACCCCTTCTTCTACTATATTAAAATATGCATCATCTCCAGAAGAAATGGAAATTGCTCTTAAAAAACTTGGTCTAGGTTGGGCGATTACAACATTAAAAAAAACACGAGAAGCGAGTGCTTTAAGTTCATCATCCAATTCTGACGTAACTCCGATAAATACTGCCAAAAGAATCATATCACCTGTTAAAAAGCAATTTGAATGTAATTACGGATTACCAGATTTCAGTGACATGTCTTCAATATCTATTAAAGAAGCTAGTAAAAGTACAGAGAAAGCAGTTCTTCTAAAAGGTAGAACTTCTACACCAAAATTACAAAATTCGAATTCTAATAGTGAAGGAACGAATACAAGTAATACAAATATTTCTGAAAATTTTCAAGAACCTGATGATGGTTTGATAATTCCTAATATATCACTTACAAAAACGAAATCTAATATTAAAAAATTGGAAAATCTATGATATATTTTTATATTATTATTTAAACAATTTTTTATAAATACTTAAAAATATATAAAATAAATCAACAAAAAATTATTTTAAATAAACAATTAGTATTTTTATTATTAAATGAATTCGAAAATTTAAATATTTATTATTTGTACATGTTATTAATATTCATTACTATTTTAATATTGAGTGCCACATAAGTTTTGTAAATTTGTTTGTTGGTTCAAAATATTAATAAGGAAAAAATTAAAATTCAATAGACAGAAAATTTTCAATTAAAATTCCAAACTTAATTATTGCTATTACAAAAAATTAAAAATTTATCTAAATCAAATTTAGTTTTTAAGATATTATTGTTTTTGCAAGCTTTATTTACATTAAAATTTATTTACATTAAAATAATAAATATATAAATATATTATATAAAATATTTTCTAATTTTTTTTCAATTCGGATCTTGTATCTATTTTTTATATATAAGATTTCCAGTTTAAACAATTCAAAGAAATTGATGGAAAATAATCTTCATTGATAGTTCGGAATTTGTGTCAAATTATCTGATTTATCATTAGATATTGAAGGAAGATTCTGAATTCAAGAAATATCATAAAAAAAGAAATTTGTATAAAACAGAATATTTTAATACCTTAACATTTTTTGTAGATTATAGTTCTAGATTATAATAAAAATACTTTTGGCAATCCAAAGTTTCATTTGCTTCATATCGAGCAAAGCGATTCAATGTTCCATTAGCATCAATTTATGCTGAAATATAATTTTTCTTTAATGATTACATATATTACAATATATAATAATATATTGTTATATTATAATTTTATATAATTTTATTATAAAATATATTAATAATATATATTATTATATATATTATAATATATTAATAATATAATAAAATTATATTATAATCAAATCCAATTTAAGTTGAATTATTAAATTAAATCAAACTTAAAGTGAATTATAATATACATCAAATTATATTTTGCATGTTAAATCATCAAAACAATAAATAAAATATACTACATTGAATTTGAGCTAATCTGCTTAAACATTAAAAAGAATTTGATATATTGTATATTTTCTTATATATTGTATATCATTTTATTGTTAACAAAATACATTATTAATTATAATTATTTTTTTATATTATTATTTTGTTCTTGAAATTATAATAATGCAGTAGTATTCATAATTTGGCATTACTGAAAATGAACACCGAAATATTGGATTATCAAAATTATCAAAATTCTACTGTACACACACGCGTGCGCGCGCATGCACGCACACACAATTACTTATTATATAGAAAAATAGTAGTAACAAAATAAAATATACATTTATAAATACGCTTTAAGAATTATTTTTTAATAAATATCTGTCGATATTCATATATATTTTTTACGTAATATAAAATTTAGATTATGAAAATAAATAAATATTATATTTTTTATGTTATTCTAGTTTAAGAAAACTAAGTAACAATAGTTTATTTTTAATAAATTTAAAATAATGAATTTTTTACGTAGTATTTATTATTACATCTTTCCCATCTCCATTTTAATATAAAAAAATTTTATGTATAATTTTTCGTATATATTTATAACATTATTATTATTATTATGTATTTT